ACTTTTCTTCCTTAATTTTTCAGATTTGCTTGAAAGATGCATCTTTTCTAAAATCGTGAGTAGGTTGTACTGCTTCAGAAACTATGTTGAATGCATCATGAAAGCCATGTTTTTCCTTCACATTTTAGTACTTTGTCTCTTTTCTGGTGTGTCTGGTATGTCTTCTATGAGCCCTGTTTATGGATAGGCAGCATGGCAGAAGTCCTACGTTCTAGCTGTGTGTCCTTGGGTTAGTTATTTAATCTATGTGAACTTTGGCATCTTCATCTGTAAAATAGGAATAGTTGTTTCTTACCTTGGATACCTATTATGAGAATTAAATCAGATTAAATATAAATGGTGTGGTTAACAGATATTAGATTCTTTATATTGCAACTTGCATAGATACTTTTCAGGACTGCTGTTTGGAGATTTTAATATAATATAAGACATGATTCATTTGAGCCTTTTCCTGGAAATAACCTAAAGTAGCAATCAGTGCTATGGAGTTAACTTTAGAAAGGGAGTTTTAAGTATACTTCTAATTAGTTAACTTTTAGGCCTCATATTGGTGCATGAAGTGTAGGAAACTTAGATTTAACTCTTAGTGGCACCTGATAATAGGAATGATATGTTGCAGTATATGGTCAGGTCAAGATAACGATTATAATGTAAATGAAACAAAAGCTAGATTTTAGGTAAGAAAGAAAGGCATGTTGACAGCATTTCATTTTCTATAACCTGTGTAGTTATGACATGGTTAGGTGAGGATTCTACATCTTTACTATTCAGAAATTTTTGTTTTCAAAGCACTTTATCAATATTTTAAGTTATTTTTCATCCATGTTTTTGTGAGTTGGATTTCTATTTTCATCTTATTTTGAAATACTAAAGGCTAGGTCATAGATTTTGTGACTTCCATCTAGTATTTCATTTAAGTGAGCACATTATCTTAGGAAGAGGATATGCTTTCCCTTTTTCTTTTTATTACAATATTCATGTCCAGCTTAATATTTGTTGAATGTCTCACTGGAAAGCACTGTTCTGAGAGTTATGAGCAATACCAGAAAAGTAAATCATAGAGCTACCCTAAGAGGACTTAACTCTAGTACAGAGGTAAAGAAGTATTCAGATATTCATAATACATGGCAATATATGGGAAGTCTCAAAAGATAATAAAATAGGGACATAAATGTTGTTAGATACTTTACATACATTATCCCATTTAATCTTCATGAAAACCCTAGTAGGCAGGTATTATCATCCATTTTAAATATGAAGAAAGTATGAGATTAGGTACCCATCCAAGGCATATTGCTGATAAATGGCAAAGCAGACATTTAAACCCAGCGCTCAGTGCTGTAGAACCTCCTTCTAAGGGAGCTTCTCAAAGTATCTAGGTGCACTGGAGTTTTCACATTTTTCAGTAGAAATACAGTCTATCTCAGGTAATCTATTTTGAATGCATTTCCAGGTGGATTTAAGAACCTGTGTAACAGAGGGACATTTATAATGTTGTTTTATAGTGCGAATCCCAAAACATTGATGTATTCTTTCAGTATATTTGGTAAGGTTATGTTGCATATTACAGTATTGCACACTCTGAGAATAGAGAGGTGTAATATAATATCTGCCCTAAAGAGATTAATTATGGAGAGTTAGGACTATGTATGTTAATATGATCTTTGGATCAGAAGATTAGATTAGAAGAGGATTGATTAGAGGTTACTTCATCAGACTCTCCATTCAGTTTTGGAATTCCCTCCACCTCCTCCTCTTCAGAGAGCATCCTTTAGAATGTCCTTTGATGAGTGATTTGCTCCACTTCCTTTCGGTGAACCCAAATCCACCTCCCTGTATCCTCTTTCATTGAACAAACATTTATTGGTGCCTGTGTGTATATAAACCTAAGTGTCTAGTTTTTCACAAGGGAATAGGACCTAATCTGTTTAAGGCTAATTCAAATAGAGCTATGCACTGTACTGTGGACACTTTATCTCATGGCCATTGTCCAACTCCATCTGGATGCTTAATCCTTGTAATCCTTGAATGTGTTCTCTGCTCGTGCCACCCAGCCCTCTCCTTGGACTTCCTGCACTTTCTTTGGACCCTCAGTATCCTACTACACTACAAAACATGCTCTGGCAACAGTCACCAATGACTTCCATATTAACAAATCCAGGATGTATCTTCCTGGGCATTTCTGTAACATTGGATTCTATTTACCACTTTCCCATTTAAAAATCACACTTCTTTAGCTACTGTGACATCACTGTCTCTTGATTTTTCTTCACTATTTGAACGTCAGCTCTACTTTTGTGACCTTGACCAAGTCACCTACCTTTCTGAGCTTCAGTCTCCTCATTGGTAAAATGAGTACAATTAGGTTTACTTGCCATATTCTTTTGGACTAAATAACACATAAAGCCCAAAGTCAGTGTCTGGCACATAGTAGGAGGTCATAAATATTTCCTTTTCCATTCTGTCTCTGGCTTCTCCCTTTCTGCATGTATTTTCCCATCTTAGAAGGAAAATTCCCTTAACTGTACTACGTTATCCAGATACTGTCTTATGTATGTGGCAGCTTCTCAGCTAGGAAGGTAATTTGGTGGTATTTCTAATACAATGGGCTTACTGTTAGTCTTTTTAACAACAGTCACAGTTTTGTAGTAAGATGTTTGATTGTGAGATTTATGTTTAAGTTACACAAAACTGAAAGCTTGAATTTTTTCTCACAGATTCCCTTGGAGTGTTCTTGTTGTGGATGAAGCTCACAGGTTGAAAAACCAAAGCTCCCTGCTGCATAAGACTCTTTCAGAGGTAAACTCACAGGATAGTTTTTATATACCTGCCCTTTCTTTAATAGGCTTTATTTTTAGAGCAGTTTTAGGTTAATAGCAAAAAATGGTTTCAATTTAATTGAGCAGAAAATGCAGAGATTTCTTATATATTCCTGCCCTCACAAATATACAGCTTTCTCTACCATCAACGTCCTGCACCAGAGTGGTACCTTTGTTACAACGGATAAATCTACATTGACACATCGTTATCACCCAAAGTCCATAGTTTACATTAGGGTTCACCCTTGGTGTTGTACATTATGTGGGATTGGACGAGTATATAATGATATGTATCCACCATTATAATATCATACAGAGTAGTTTCACTACCCTAAAAATCTTCTGTGCTCCACCTGTTCATCCCTCCTTCCCCTCCTAATTCGCTTTTAAAAAAATTATTAGTTTAGGCCTTGGCCGGGCGCGGTGGCTCACGCCTGTAATCCTAGCACTCTGGGAGGCCGAGGCGGGCGGATTGTTTGAGCTCAGGAGTTC